AGAAGCATACAGCTTGTTAAGAACTCTGGCTATGCCGGAAAAGCCCATTTCGCTTCTTTATACAACTCTCAAGGAATTACTACTAGACTATGTCAAGTATGCAAATTTTGATTGCAGTAAAGAAGGGGAATTTCCTAAAATAATTCATCAGGACGTCAAAAATTCTACTACATCACGTCATTCCAATCCAATGCATACTCAAGATTTTGCAGATAATTCATTGCGGAGTTGCAGTGCGTTTCACGAAGACTGGCACAAGTTTGGTCAATGTTTGTCCTGTGGCATGTTCCATGCTTTTAATTCATGTAAATTTCGTAATTCTAAATGCTTTAAATGTGGTGATACTGGACATATTCAGTCAGTCTGTAATACTACTGTTCATCTTGCTGCAACTAATATTAAGACTTGTAATTCTGATTCTAGTGAGTCAAGTATTTATAATGATGATTTATCTTTATCAACGATTGGAATAGACGGTGTAGAGTCACACAGAAGTTCAGAGTTAAATGAGACTCAGAATTCTCGCGAAACAACAGTTTCTAACCAATCGATTTATCAGATTTCTCATGTTATTGTACTAAATATGACTTTTCCTAATGACTCACTCATTCCTGAAGAAATTTTTTTTTGCAAATCTGAAGAAAATATGTTAAGTGAACATAATTATAATCGAAAACCTGATGCAGCTTTGATAGATGGCGATTTTTGTAATGATCCATTACTCTGCAATGACATTCTTAATGGAATATTTCAGAAGAATCAAATCCTGATGTTATGTCATATATTACCTATCCTTATAATGTATTTGATCCATGTGAGAAACTTGTTCAATGCGAGGCACGAGTACTGAATGACCTCGATTTTGATTACAATTCTGATGATTTCATATCAACTGCTATTCATCCTTATCACAAATCCACTTCCAATGTATACTCTAGTCAATGGGAGAAATATGTTTTAAATGAAGTCACATTATTCATAACTTGGGGATATAAAGATCCAACATTATTTCGTGGGGGAGGATAGTGTTGAAAAATATATGGTTCCAATTCTTGATATTAATGATTTCGGTACAAAACCGACATGCTGATTGTATACAATTCCAGGTTAGTCTGTTCCGATTTCGTTTGTTAATTCCAATACTAATGTGCACATTCTAGATACTACAAAGTTTTTATCCAATACAATGTCGGACAGACTCAGGATGAACAACAAGAAATACAACCGATTACAAACACTTATACTTCTATTTAAGCTGTGGCGGATGTGTTGTTCGAATTGACTAATGATACCTTTGTAGATGTTGAATGCTCGATTTCGAATTCCAAATACAATACATTCGTTTGTGCTTGTGTCTTCTTAATTCAATTGCATTATTTCTTGGACTCTTAGTTCGTGCTATAAATCAAATAATTCAAAACACCATAGTTCGGCTTGTTAATACAATTTTCAGCCACGTTTTCATTATCAGAAACCTGAGGCAGTCATGATAGATGCTCATTTTTCTAATGATCCATTGCTCTGCAATGACATTCTTAGTCAATTTCATGAAAATATTTCAGTAGAATCAAATCCTGATGTCATGTGTATTACCTATCCTCATAATGCATTTGTTCCTTGTGAAAATCTTGTTCAATGCAAAGCATGAATACTAAATGAGCTCGGTTTTGATTACAGTTCTGATGATTTCATATCAACTGTTGTTCATCCTTATCACAAAAACACTTCTAATGTTTACTCTAATCAATGTGAGAAATATGTTTTAAATGAAGTCACATTATTCATAACTTGGGGATATAAAGACCCAACAATATTTCGTGGGGGGGATAGCGTTGAAAAATCTATGGTTCCAATTCGAGATATGAATCATTTCAGTACAAAGCCGATATGTTGATTGTATACAATTCCAGGTGAGTCTGTTCCGATTTCGTTTTTTCAGCCACGTTTACCATTGCAATAGCATCTGGTAGCCATTGTATCCGAGCAGCACTGATAGCATAGCAAGTTAAAAAGCATAACAAACAGAAAGACTATTGAAACAGTTAAAGTACAGATGCTAAAACATTTTCTGAATAAAGAAGTTATTCTTGATAATACTTTGACGGAAATTCATTTGACTTGTAGTTGCTAGAAATTTTACTGAAATAGTAAGGATAGTCAAGAATTTTATCGCAGCAAAATAAATCTTGGACTGAATTAGACTGATCTAATCCGCATTACTTCCAAATTGATTCAAACTGTCCTGGGTGCCAGCTAGTTAACGTGTATAAAGTATATATACATCAGTAATAATAATGGAATATTATTACCAAGCAAAGGGATTTTAAAAGGATTCACACACAAGGCATTCCAAATGGTAAGGCTACTGAATACAAGTTAATCAACAGAACCGAAGTCATGGATTTTGTAGTCACATGGTCTATCAGACATCGTGTTAGAAAATGAGTATACATTTATTTACACTAAACACATTTGTATTATATACCATGTGCGGTTATCAAGCGTTATCTGTGATATCTTCAAGTCGGAGAGAGCAAATTTTGAGCAAAAACCAAACATATCATTTCGACTGCCTTCTAGACCCAGTGCCTTCTTAAAATGTTTGGTACTGTTTCGGCGAGAAAATTGCAAATGTAACTTTAATTTACCTCCGAAAATTTGTTCACGAGATTAGACATACAAGGATTCTGTAGAGGCGAAATCCTCAGGAATGACTGATCTTAGTTTAGGTGGATTCAAAAAAGTTTAATTCGAACAGTAATCCTCTCAACGTTCCTTTGGGAAACAGTTTTTAGTGGGGCTTAACAAGTACATTTATTTATTTATTTCTGTCTATCTAAAATCATCGATTTTCCAAGTGTAGTCAAATCTTGAATTAGATGAATCAAAATGTGGATAAAAGCATCAAAGGTTGGTAATGTGAGAGCATTAGTGTTGGTCATCTCTAAATTCGAGCTAAGCCGGTATACAATATGGTTAGTACCTATTATTATAGTATATTATAGTATATTGTAACGAATGGGTTGTACAAGGTCATTTTACATCACTTAGTAAACGATTCCTATTACAATTGTTTATCTGGCAAGAGAAAAAAACGACAGATAACGTATGACACAGTTTATAGCAGTCGTAAGTCAAAGATTCTTATAAACAGGTAGTCTAAAGTAAATGATCTCCTAAAATGCTTTACAGTTTATTATGATAAATAACAAGTGTTCCTGCTTCTTACAGAGGATGACATCAAACCAACGTTAATTGTCACAGACACAAACGAAATAAATGAACAAACGTCATTGTATGAAGTTCTGATACAACCCAATAATATTACTTAAATGTTTTCCCTGACCGTTTTGTTGGCACATTTTACTAACTGTGAAATTCGGGAAACGTATTTTCTGCTAGGTCTGATGATTTCGTGTCCGGTTTATTTCAGATTGATTTTTGAGTATATTCGGAAATTTGGAAAAAATAGCAAATGCATTCAAAAGTAAACGAACAAATTTATATTTACTCTCAAGATTTTCTTACCTAGCCGTGATAGGAGTGCTTCAGCAAAAGGCCACACAAGCTTTTTTTCCCTCATTGGATAATTCTGTAGTTCATATGAATCATTTGTTTTTAATTATTTCATCGTGCTTTCCATGAACTACGGATTTTACTATAATTGCGCGGCTTTCAATCATTCTCCAAGGCGCGCGTTTTGTAAACTGGTGAGTATTGTTGAATTTTCTCTCAGTTTAAGCTCTTTATTTTTATTGTTACTGTGGGGAAGGGGTAACCTTTAAGCAACAATGAAAAGTATCTTGGAAGTTATCAGTCAGTAAAAAAGCGCTTTTTACGGGAAGGACGACGTTGCACAATTTGATGTGGCTCTAGCTAGAGCTACATCAAAAGATTCTAGAATCTTTTACTGGTTACTCTGTCTATAAATAAAAAAGATGGTGGCATACGAAATCTTTACGGTGAATACCTATCGTTTGTCTACTAAAACGCCTAAAAGTGTCCAATCATCTATTTGAATCACTATCTTTTCCCAAGTCAAGGTTGGTCATTTAGAGTAAAAATTAAGGGTTTTGGGTTTCAAATTGAAATTATAACAACCTTAAATGCAAGAAGACTCTGTAGCAATATGAATCAATAGATTTAGCTCAAAATCCATAGGTGCTGTTTGGTTAGTTCGTTCGTAAGATGTAGTGCCACCAGGTTCAGACTTGTTACAGAATGTAAGACTGTACTGCGTACTTCTTCACCTCAATCCTCTTAAGGGTAATATTTACATCAGTAACGAACAAGTTTTGATAAAATTCAGTCATTCCCGAAACTTGTCAGTTCCCTTAAACTTATTCACGTTACAGAAGATATGTTTCCAGTCTAGTTTTATATCTAAATCGGTTCAGTAACGCACTGGCAATGGCTATGCGGCAATTTGCCATTGGCCATATCAAGTTACACTATATACAAATCTGCCGAAAACTTTTCAGTAAAATACCCTACTACGTTTAGACGGTTTTCGGTGAGACTATAATTTATGGACGACCTTTGAGTGACACCAGACGGTTCTTGGGAGTGTCCACCTAATAAACAGGCCCAAATAAAGGTTATAAATCTGTATGAGGATTTAGAATTATGATTTACAGTTGATGATTAACGTTAAAAATTAGATTTAGGGTTTTCACCATAAACTGACATCAGTTTTAATGCCAAGACTCTGTTTATCCAAATGAGTGAGTGGGTTTCGCACCGAAATCCGAGACCTGTTATCTCATACGTGATTGGTTCGTCCATAAATTATAGTCTCGCCGAGGAATTCCCCTTAGACTGTTCTTGTACGAATATTTACCAGTTTCACACCTTTCATTTTTTCTCGAACTTTAGTGTCTTGTTATTTTTTACCACAACTTTTCGATGTCACAGATACTTGCGTTTTGTCTAAGAATAATGATAAACCTTACCAATATCTCAGCTTATATTTTTGTTTCTCGTTAGAATAACGTGTCCTTATGGAGAACCCTGTTTTTGATGATCCTAGTAATGAAGCCAAATATTGGCGGCAAAAGGCTGAAGAGTACCGTAGCGGGTAAGCTTCCTATTGCGGTGTTTGTATTCTTACGATGATTAATAGCATGAAAGAAGCACGAGAGGAGCTGGAAGACTTCCAGATTAGTTCACGAGAACTAGAACTAGAGCTTGAAACTCAATTGGCACAATTAGAAAAGCGCAATTCAGAGCTAGTCGTATTGTGCGAAAAGCTAACTGTTGAAAAAGATGCCTACCGTGTAAGTGTAAAAACAGTGATGTTTTAAGACAGTTGTTTTGGATAAAGAGATTGATATCTTCGGTTCTTACTGTTTGTAGCATAAGGCGGAAAATAGTCAAGAATATGTTAACCACGAAATAATTAGACTTCAAGATGAACTAGAGAAGTCGAAGTTAGATCGAGAGAAAATGCACAAATATATCCGTGAACTAGAACAGTTAAATGACGATTTAGAACGTTCTAAAAGGTAGTTTATACGTTTGAAGCTCCAAGTACTTTTATTACAGAGCGACAGTTGTTACATTAGAAGATTTTGAATCCCGCCTGAACCAGGTAAGAATATGCTCCTCGTACATGCTTGGTTTTACAGGCTATTGAGAGAAATGCATTTTTGGAGAACGAATTGGACGAAAAGGAGGATCTAATGGTAACTGTCCAGCGACTTAAAGATGAAACTAGAGGTTAGTGTCATAAACTTTAGTAATCGGTCAAATAATTTGATTTTATCTCTTAGCTTACAAAATTTATTTTACAAAGCTTATTATTTATCGTCTTGCATTACGGACGGGTTTGTAAGTAAACGTAAAGGTTGGATACGTTATATATATAAGTGGAAGTTTTCCTAATATTTCTGTATTGTCTCGTTATCTCATCACGGGATATATTAGTTACCTACGTTGTAATTAGCTCCTATAACGTCTGTTAAAAATTAACGTTAAAATCCACTGTCTCCGCTTTATTTTCTCACAATTATAGGTATCTAATCACTCATCCTTTTTGTTGGTTAGCTACTTATATATCTCAAATTTTCTTTCTTCATATTTTTACAACTGAGATCTTTGATGTGATTATACATTTTTTGGATGAGAAATCTATGATTGTTATAAGCTCTCTTAGTTCAGTTTTTTTTTGAGCGACGTAATGTGACCAAGATTTCTATATGATGAAGTTGTTAACATCTCGCCTTTCGAATACTAAAGACACAAAGGTTTAGGTATGATAGTTATTATTATTTACTGAACTTAGTCGAAGGCAGTAGCTTCCTAAATATTCAGATATACATAGATTCAAATGTTTGCAATCAAAATGTTGTAAGGAAGCTTTTGTCAAAATAGATAATAATTCATCAAGTATTTTGGTATGTGCCGCACTCAATGTATCGGGGTCAGTGATACTACTATGTTGCTCAAACCAAAGTAGGTGAATCGGAGTTTGAACCTGAGGCCGAAAGTCGAACTCCTTAATTACTAAATCACCTCTCCTTTGTCAATATGTGTGATACATGGATGTCATAAAATGGAGATTTGCAGTTCTATTGAGGAAAAAGTGACCATACAGATTTTACCAAACATATTAAGTATGATTTATTAGTGTGCATATATTTTGTTCGTTATATTCGACTATCTACTTGAATTAATGAAGATAGTTCCTTTTTACTTTTACCTACTTTTTCGCTGTCAAAACAATAAAAAGCAATATGGATTTTTTGACAGGCCACTTTCTAATAGCCTATGAATCTTATCCAAAAACGAATTTAGGTAGCACGGTATTTAAATGTTGAAGGTATCTGCTCTGTGCAAGTGCTAATGTCTCGGGAACCAAATTTTAAAAGTGAATTCAAGTGAACTGAAAATACATTGTTGATTCTCGATGCATTTGGTGGATGTAAAGAAAATTGACAAGACAGTTCATCAAGTTCGTTACAATCTTGCGTCTTAAGCTACAAACCATACTTATTGTGCGCGGAATATTGAGAAATTTAGTTGATGAAACTAGTGAAGTTCGACGTACGACGTTTTGTGTTCAGATATATGTCACTTAATATATGAATGTTAATACTACCACCTGTATATTTCTGTAGTGATGAGTGTCCGGAGTGTTTTGAATACTATTCTTAGCCAATTCACTGAAATTTTTTCAATCTTTGTTACAGACCTCCATCAAGAGTTGGCTATAACTCGCCGTCAACCTGAATTGGGCACTCCACCAGAAGTATGTAATGGAGGCAATACCATTCTTACCAAAAGTTTTAATAAAAGTAAGTGAAATAACTTACTAGCATCTCAATATATGTACATAATTTGTATTAAGGGATGTTAATTATCTTTCAAAGTAGTATTATGTCTGGTATGGTATTATCTCACCGTACACTTTGAAAGCAGTGATTTTTAAACTCAAAACGCATTAACAAAGGTTTAGCTTATTTATGACATATCAAGCTAATGTATTGATACACGATATTATTCCTTTTTCAGTGAATTTAACCATAATGTTCTATTTAGAGCAACTCGAACTGATGTGCGTACGTACGAAGTTCTACGTTGTTACTGACTGATTTAGATTTTCATAGGTGAGATGTAATCTATAGGCTAAAAAGTCATTACATCGTCTAGATAATATCTGGTTATTTTGTGAAGGATAGTTGACTAAAACTGTAGACTATTATAAATATAGTTCTACTAAATGACTAACTTATTCGGTAATTGCGTTAGTTTTGTACTGTATATGGGTAGATTTTAATAAGATTCCATCCCATAATTATTGTTTTCTAAATTGGATTATACTTTTATAGTAATTGTTCTAAGTGTTTGATGCAAATAAGACAGACTCTACGTTCCTTATAAATTTTCTTATTTTTCTCATTTTTGAATTGTCTTTTTTTCTGAGCTTTATGTGAAATCGCTGCGTTCATATTTACCAGCTGTACTGTAATATCTATATGCGGTTAGGCTTTTTATTTCCCAATGCAATAATATTCTCGTTGTATAGGTAGAAGTTCTGTGAAATTAGTTTTCTGCACTGAACTATATCATCTGAAGTACTACTGGACACGCACGAGCATCCAGTAAATGTTTTGTCCTAGTTGTAATTCCTTACTGAATCACATCTATGTCTCCATACAGGATCAAGTACAAGATATTCAGATGTAGTTCCAAAGAAGATTACCGAGTTGGGGTTAGATGGTACATTTCTCCGACTTCAATTAGTCGGTGAAAACGCTGTGATTATTCGGTAAAATTGGCAATAAATGTCTCGATCTCGACATTGTTAAGCTCCAATAATCGTATCTGTTGACTGGGACTTCTGAAACTCACTTCAAATCCATTTGCAGAATTATTCCTTATTTGATTGATCTATTTATAATAATTCAGTACAGTTATAGTTTCTGTCACTAATATTAACTGAGAAGGCATTAGATACCAACACTTTTACTCTACTAAACAATTAGAATTCCTTTATTTGCTCATTTACTTCTGTTTAGGTGTATCTGAATTTCTGTTATTTATGTACTCATAATAATCATTTGCAATAATGAATGTTAGATGAATAATTTTTATTGCTTTATCTCGTCTTAAAAAACGACTGACATTGTGGCACGTGGCACTTAAAACATATTAGTCCTTTCGCGGTATATATATATATTTTGAGGTGTATTACGATGCACTAAATGTTCACATTTTTTAATTGTTTTTATCATAAGACTAAAATACTTTAAAATCATTAATTAACTGGCACACTGCTCACTGTCGGTAAAGACTCCCACAGAAATGGTTAATAATAATTGTGTATCTATTTAACTAGTTCATTTGATTTTATAAACAAAACGATGAAATTGGGAGCAATTGATATTTATTTGTCATGATATCATATTAATCGTTATTATGTGCTCGGAAACAATTTGGCTGAATATTTTAATTAACTTGTTTATTAACCACAAGTTTATACATTCAATTTTCAGCTGCACTGTATGAAATCTAATCATACCACTTTGCCCAAACCTCGTTAGGTAGAGCAGGGTTCGAACTTAATCTACTGGTTGAAGGCTGAATACTTCAGACTATTATAAATCACCACTTTACTAAATACATGATTTGATATCGTTCTATACTATAATTATTTAAAATATTATTTAATATAATGGTAATAAGTTGTAGCTAGAGTTTGTGCCCAGTGTTGTACGTTTATACATCATGAAGACTATTTCGTAATATATGTATTTCTAGCTTTGATTATGCTTTATATTTTACACTTCAATGACTATCATATCAGCTTGTGACGAAAATCATCTTTAAATTGCACAAGTCTCTTAACAGATCATCGTATTAAAATTAATAGAAATGGTTTGTTGAAAAGAGAATTTACTTACCCATTGCTACAATTCATTACGTTAGGTCATCACGTTAAACAGAATTGGTATAAATAATTAAGCTTAACTTACTTCCAATATAATTTTTCAGTAAAGCGTTTTTTCCAGCAGTGTTTAACTAAATTCCTCGTGATACGTAGTATTAGTAGTCAACTTTAGTGAGTTACAACATAATTTCCCCTATTACGTACAAATTCCTTTAGTTTAAGACTTTTTAAAAATAATTTTAGATTGAGTATTTTTTATCTCTCCTTTTTTATCGGATCAACTGTTTCGTCAAAATACTTTCACAGTTCTTTTTAGTCATTTTCACGTTCTCACGCTGATTTGATCTTATTCAATATAACGGTTTGAATTAATCCATAGTTTTTAGTGATTCTATGCGGCCTTCGTTGAGCAAGATAGTTGGTGTAGTTTATTTATTTACTTGAACAAAAACATTCGTACACGGGGGCACCAAATACATATGCTCCACACAATAACAATGAGGTTGTTGAGAGATTAAGAATGTAAGGTGCGTATGATAAAAAGAACAACAACAACGAACAGAAATTAGTGTATGAGAGTGAAATAATAATAATAATAATGGGAGAAATAGTTCAGTTAGGAAAAACATAACCGGAAAGAATTCTTTTAGTTAGAGAAGTTACGTTCACTTTTATGAAGACAATAAAAGGAAGTTACAGCAGGATTGCTACTGGCTTCTATTCTGGGCCATGTCTGATAATGTCTCTAGCCACTGTGTTGCACCATTTCTAGGGTCTTAACTAGGGAATCTTGAAGTACCGAAATAAGCCAATCCTATACAATTTTCTTTCAAGTAATGACACCATGTCATACACTGATCACGTCCACTTTTTCCAACCAGTTCCAACATCGGCAAATAATGCACGACGTGAAATTCTGTGGGACGACATTCGTAAGACATGTCTAAGCCACCGAAGTCGATGTTTTGAGATAACGACACCAATTGAACTATCATCACTGTACGCGAACACATGATCCCGAACCTCCATGTTACTAACATGGTGTTGTCACTGGATGTCAGCAGTTCTTCAGTCTTGACGATAATCAAACACAGAGAGTCGTCTAACATCCTCAACTCGGAGAGGTCAGGTCTCGCAAGCATAGAGCGAAACCGCTGTCACCGGCGCGTTGTAGGTCTGACCTTTTACAGCCAGACTAATATCACGAAGGCTCCAAAGATGACCCATATTAGCATTATTATTATTACTATTATTAATGGCTTTATTCAATATTATAGTTTTGGTACAATATAGAATTCTCAGCACAGGGTATTTCAACAAGTTACTTACTGAAAAAAAAACGAACAAATAGGCAGTAGCAAATACAAAAAAGAAATTTTTTAAAAATAAAAAAAAAATTTTTTAAATAAATTAAAAAAAAAAGACCAAAAAAAAACTGTGCAAAACTTTTTAAAATTAAAGACATGTTAAGAATGTAAATTATTAACTAGGTTATTTCTAACAACCTGTTCGTCACATAGTATATTTGCTAGGTAAGGAATTATAGAACTTTTATACTTTTCCTTACGTGCATGGATTTTAATGTAATTACGTCTCGTTCTACCAGAAGATATACAAGGAGAAAGATAAGAGTGAAGGGGATGGCTAGTATCTGATAAAATAACACCTGCCAGGAGTTTGCATGATTTTAAATGTCTATCCACAACCATATTAATTATGGCCTCGAAAGATTCACCACACATCTTGCTAACTGCCTTCAGCACTCTTCGCAATACAGCAAAGTCTTTTCTCAAAAGCCCGGGAAAGAATAATGGAGAACAGTAAAGAATAATAGGTAAAATGCAAGAATTGACAAATTGTAGGAGTAAATGACGAGTAATCCCAAGAGCATGCAATCTCTTTATGTAGTAGGTCAGACGGAAAACCTTCTTCGATAACGATAAAACGTGGGAAGACCAAGACAGATCAGAGGAAAAGGTGACACCAAGATAATTGACCTTCGACACTGAGTTTATGAAAGAGTCTCCGATGGCACAAGCATTATGGGATCTCAAAATGGTGTTTATATTCCGTTCATGTCTCATGCTAAAGTTAACAGCTTGACATTTAGACGGATTAAGTATGAGACCATTACCAACAGACCAACAATCAATATGAGACAAAAACTCATTCATTTCTACGGGATGTAAAGAGGAAGATATAGGCATACATACAGTGAGATCATCCGCATACTTCACAAAAGTGTTTTCTGTAGAAGATGGCAGGTCATGCAGAAAAAAAGAAAATAGAAGAGGTGAAAGAACAGCTCCTTGTGGTACACCTTCCTGAGACAGTAGAGACTCCGAACACTTTCCTCCAAACACAGTGTACTGTTCCCTTCCAGAGAGGTAGGAACATAGCCAGTTGGTTATCCAGCTGTCAGTGTTGACGCTGATTAACTTGTTAAGTAAACGTTGTCTTGGTATAGAGTCAAAAGCTGAAGTATAGTCCAGAAAAGCACAACGAACATACTTCTTACCCTTTTCTAAGTTGAACACTATGTTGTGGTGCAGAACTGCAACAGCATCTAAAGTGCTTCTTTTGCGCCTGTATGCAAACTGGTATGGGTCAGTATGCTCTTTTATCGCAAGCTGAAGTGGAAGTATTAATAATTTTTCCATGGTTTTGAGGAAGGGTGAAGTTATTGCAATAGGTCTAAATTTTACATTCTTATTACCAAATTATTTCTTGGTTACAGGGATTATCTTAATCTTTCTCTACATTTTCGGTATGAGATTAGATGAGAAGGATCTGTTAAATATTGTTGTGAACGGATGACACAGAACGTCAGCACATTTTTTAAAAAGGATGTTTGGGATACCATCAGGTCCCAAACATCGAGATGAATTAAGCGATCGGAGACAT